CAAAGAGCAGAGCCTGGTGAGCCGTGCAGCGCTGCCACAAAGAGCAGAGCCTGGTGAGCCGTGCAGCAGGACGGGGCGCGTGGTGTGGCAAGGCCGGCTGACGGGGGGCACGGGCACCCTAGGGGCTGTGGGGACCTCTGTAAGAGCCCCAGCTCGGAGCGTGCTGGGGTGTCCCCCTCTGTGTCAGTCACAACGTTGGTCAGTAAATGTGCCGCTGCAGAAAAACTCCTGTGGGATCCTCCTGGGGTGAGATTTTTCCTCTGGGGTGTTCAGAGCAGTCTAATTACTGAGCTAGGCGGGAGGGCTGCAAGGTGCCCCCCTCCCCGTTTGCCCCCGCTGTCTTTGCTTATCCAAATCCGAGGGCTTTAGAACTGGCGTGGATCCTGGCTGGCTTAGCTTGCTTCTCTGCCTCTCTCCTTACGAGACTTGAACTGCTGAGGCAGAGGGCGGGGGAAATGGTTTAGTTTTTTCTTTAATTGAACTCCGGTTGTCTAAGCAGGAATATCAATACCACTTGGAACTTGCCCTGCCTTCCCCTTGAGGTCTCACCCTCTGTCCTGCATCCCTGCTCTGCATCTTCACGGGGTTCGTGCTATTTTTGCTCGCTTCCTCCTGAGACTCTTCAATCTGATAATCTCCTAATCTCTAGCTCCTAGCAATTAATCTGCAGTTGTCTTTGCTTTATACCTGTCATGTCTTGGGAGTTGTCTTCAAAATAGCTTCTAACCTTGTTGGCTAATGCATATTAAGAAATAGGAGCCTTCTCATTCCTCAGATTCTTGTTATTGCCTGTGTTGGGGAGAGATGTCCCTATTACAAGTAATTGCTGTTGCATCAGTTTCTTGTAAAGCATCCTCCTGTTTTACACCCATTTCAATGACCAGATTTTGAGTTCTTTCTTACCCCAGGTACACTCTGCTTTCCTTTGTGGGCTATTAAAGCCTTAAAATAGGAGCTGCCTGATCTGAGCTCAGATGCTCTGATGAGCACCACAGAAATATCTGTAATGTCTGTGAGAGGGGACATGTGCTTTCTCCTGGTTGCAGAGACGGAGAAGGGCTCCTGAAAGGAGCACACCGAGCGCTAGCCCTATTGCCCCTGAACTCCTCTGGATAAAACATGCCTGGTGGGGTAGTTGCAAAGGAAGTCTGAAAATATAGGATCGACTTTTAGCTTTCTCTGACGAGGATCAAACGCCTAATCTCTTCCATTGGATGACTGTAATAACAGGGAGAGGGCAGGAGGAGAAAGTGCCTTCATTAGCTTTCTTCTTGTATTATCTAGTGTTGTATTATCCCTCACCTTTTGTGCTCCTTTGTAACACCAGCTTGCTAAAATACATGGCTGGACACATGCACCAGGGTCCACAGTGTACCATTGTTCACAAGAGAATAGGCAGTGCCTGCCATCATTGCCTAGGCTCCTCTGCCGGTTCCTTTTGCAGTCTTGGTTGTTTCAGGGAGGGGAGGAAGGTTTCCTGGATGAGAACTGGCTCTCCTCTGGATTGGGCAGTGGAGGTGCCGCCTCAGAACTGTAAACAGGGAATGAGCCTCCACTGGTTCCGACAGCAAAGACAGAGACCTCTTAATGAGTGCCTCACTATGGATTGCTGTTTGGGATTTCTTTGGAATCACTTTTTCATACAAAGGCAACAGGAGAATTCATGAAGGAATCCATGAAGGAATCCGTTGTGGCTGGCTCAGGAAGTTCATCACCTCTGCTGCTTCCTGAGGCCACTGCAGGGTTGCTAATTGTGCTTCTAAACTCTTCAAAACCATGGTAGGACTTAAGATAGAACATGTCTCCAGCAGTGGGGAGTTGCAGATCTTTGGGCATGATAGAGAGATTATGGGAAAGAAGCTGCAGAGGCACCAGCATATAGTGAGAATACCAGGCACCAGAATAGTGAGGTGAGCGAGAAGTAGCTGCTAATACCAGGCTTGGGCAAGTTGCAAGAGTTTGCTCTTTGCTTTGAGAACAAGTTCAACTCAGTTGGTGAACTCTTTCCAGGAAGAGTTTGGGTGTGGAGGTCTGGGATATGGCAATTCACTGGGCTTTAGGAAGGAATAGGAAATGCTCCTCCATCACCTGTGTTTGCACTACTTAATGGGGGTACTTCAGGACAAAAGCCAAACTGTTGGGTTGTCTAAGGCCGTGCTGATGTGTCCATCCCTTCATCCCTTGTTCAGCGTGTGTGTGCTCTCTGTCAGCCCTGAATCGGGTGAGTACTGAAGGCTTGTTCAGGGAGATACCACGATTATTTGGTTACTAACGGGAAACAACACAACCTGCTTCAGGGGAACTGGAAGAAATGAGAAAATGTTCTGTCCTGAGAGACCAAGCCCACCTTTCTTGTAACAGTTGACTTCACTCAATGGAGGTTTGAGCTGCTTCATGTCTAACGAAAATAGACACGGATGCTGCCTCCATTCCCCAACTTGTGGTGACGGTGAATTAGGATAATGAAAGCAGATGATACATTTAAGTGCGTCACGGAAGTGTGGGCAACTGAGCCCTACAGTAGTTTAAAAATAAGTATGTATGGGATGAGATTAGCAAATCTGACAGTGCTCAGCTAAACAGAAGTATCTGCCAATTGCAAGCAGCCCATTGCGAGTAAGACCTTCCAGTGTAGCTGCGGGCTTCTGTTATGTATGGGGGAAAAAACAGCATGTGGCTACTTTGATTGATTTTTGAACAGGAATTGCAGCAAGCAAATTTAATAGAGACTGAGAGGAATATATATCCCCCTTATTTTTTTCCTGCTAGGAGACTGGGCACTGCCAGAGGAGGAAAAAAACCACTTGATTGCAGTACTCTGACAGCTAATCTTCCCAGATGTCATCCAGTTAGATACTGGCATGTAAACTTAAAAAGAAAAAAAAAAAAGGTTTAAAATATTTTCAGTGCAAAAAGACTTGGAAAATACAGTGCAGGGGTGCAAACATCAATGAGCAGGAGCCTGGTGGGGATTCTGCCTGGGGTTTACTCCTCTTGGTGGTTCTGCTTTGCGCTCCTCTCCTCCAGATGAGTCATGGACACTGTTACTGCAGCAACGCTGCTGCCAAGGAGGGGGATGAAGCTGTTGCCATGGTGCTGGATGGGCAGGAATTCTGCAGGAGGAAAAACACTTAATAATTAACTTGCAGACAAACGCGGCTTCAGACTTTGCCTGCGTGCTCTAGGGAAGGTGTCCCGGGCTCCCAGGCGACCGGCAGCCTGTTCTGGTGCAGCCCATGGCCTTCGCAGAGAGCAGCGGGGCCGAGCGTGGCCGTGGGCCGAGGGAGGCGAAGCCGGGACTGTGGGAAGCTGTGCCTGCTTCTGGCAATTTGTGTTTTGCATGCGGCTGCTTGGATCGGGGAGGTTGTGGGACGGGTTAAGGATTTGGGCTTGCTGATGAGTTAGAACCTAAAATCATCGTGTAATTGCAGGACATCTACCTGAGGACTGCTAAACAACAAGGGGTTGATTTAAATTCCATCTCTTTGGCTACTGTTAAAGACAGAAAAGAAGATTTGTGCAGTTGTTAGGCTATTTCATCTAACAGTAGGCTTGTGTTTTCTTGTGGTAGTAAAAATGTTGAGCTTTTTTCTTGTTCTTCCTGACAATGTGGGTACTGGTGATAGTTTTTCTTTGTGCTGTGTTGATAGGAAAGGGAAGCCTCCCCGCCAGATGCCAGAGATGCTCCAAACACAGTCCTGTCTCCTAAAGCCCATTCCTTTGAGCATTCACCGTCTGGTGGTGATGATGGAGAGCAGTAAAACGGTCCAGAGATTGTTTAACACCTCTGTGCCTTCTGCCAGCGAGCACTCGGACAGCTCTCCAAGTTAAGGAGATTTGCAAAGAATAAAAGGCTTCTAGGACAGTACAGGTGCTGGATGTGCAGTCCACGCTCAGCAGTGCCTAGGAGTGATCTTCCACAGTGCTGACTACAGCTTGCTTTGTCTCTCACTGCGGAGGGGCCTGATTTCTGTAATTACAGATCCCAGCATGGGAGCCTTGCTGTCTGGCTGTTGCAATGCATGGCATTTCGGATGTGCTCTTACTATACCACAGCAATCTTTTATTAACTCCTTATCTATGGGATATTCTAACCACAGCCCATAACCCTCAACCATAATGTAGGTACCCGAGGTGTTCTGCCGGCGCTGAAGTAGGGGTTGTGATGGGCAGGGATGATCTCCGAGTACACTGTAACTTGTTGTCATATATTCAGTGAATAAGCCTTAGGTGGATGGCTGTATTTGAATTTTAGAAATAGGAAAGCAGACAGAAATGTGATTAACGCAGACTAACAGCAGGATTTAGAAATAGGAAAGCAGACAGAAATGTGATTAACGCAGACTAACTGCAGGGGAAGTAGGATGAGAAAGGGCTTAGAATGTATTACTCTCACCTTAGAACCTCCAAAACAGGTCTCCTACAACATGCAGATGTGTGGTTGTTCAAAAGCTAACCTGGCTTGCATATGTACAACATTTATTCAGGTTTGTCAGGATAAAGTAAGTTATTGGAGCTGCTTTCAGTCTGTGCTTACGTGTGCAGTGAAAGGGAAGCACCACTGCTCTTCCCAGAGCGGCGGCGGCTACCCAGGCCAGGGAGCTGTCTCAGGGCACAGTGAGGCTGAAGCCAGGAACGATGACTTTCTCCCGAAGATGCCCTCTCTGGTGGAAGCAGGGAAGGGCTCTGTTCCCAGACTTTTCCTAGTACAGGGAAAGGCTTTGACACCATTTTCAGTGCTGAGGAAAGAAAGTCCTTGCATGGGACAAGCGTCGGTGGAGAGAAGAGGCCACCCTTTGTCTGCAGAGGGCTGGAGGCAGGGGCGGTGGCCCAAGGCAGGACACTCCTGTTCCAGTTAAGTGCAGTCGGCTTAGCGCTCGCAAAGCTGCTTAGCACTTGCGTGTTGCCAGAGGGCAGTTTTTAAAACAGGCAAAGCCTCTTACACTGAAAAGGGTAGGATTTGATGGAGGTGCTGACTATTCTCAATACCCAGAGGGGAAATGGGTGCAGAAGATACTGGCACAGGGCTGGAAAAGGGTGATGACCTCCGAGTGCTGGGGTGAGAAGCCTTTTCCCTGCCTCGTCCAAGCAGGGCAGTGTGAGCGTTCAGAGCTGGGGCTGTCTTCATAGACATCGGTTTTGGATTAAAAACAGGGTAGCAGTGGAGATGCATTTGGGCTGCTTTCACTGCTGGTGGTGACCTGCAAAGAACAGCCAGCCATACCCGGTAATTCTGGGCAGCCTTCATTTAAATTTGCTTTCCTCTGCAGATTATTTGTGCACTCCAGAGGAAAATGTTTACAAGATAGACTTCACCAGGTTCAAAATCCGGGACATGGAATCTGGCACAGTCTTGTTTGAAATCACCAAACCAGCAGCATCAGGTGAGTGCACACACAAAATAGTTTTCACAAACAAACAAATGCTGGTATCTGCTTGCTTTTCCCTTTTCCCACTCCTTTTACTTGATGCATTTCCCCAAAATAGGAGATGCTCTCAATTGCAAGAGCTGGAGTCCCAGCTTGCAGCAGAAATACGGTTCAGGTGTCCCTTTGCACCCACCCAGTGAACAAAACTTGTTGCTGCTGGGTTCTTGTGATTGCCATCTGTGGCGAGAAAGGACAGATGGGTGTTGTAAACAGAGCCCAGGAGGAGGAGGTCACCATGTGTTCGTTTCTCAGCTGCTCATCAGCTAGAGTCCCCCTGTACATAGTTTAGCTGTTAGTCTAACACCTTTCACTCAGGAGCCAGGAAAATGGTGTTTCCAAAAGGGAGAAACTTTGTCAATCGTGCAGATTAGACAAACTGAAAATTTGCATTTTTTTCTTCATAATTTTTAGGGGTTACTTGTAACCATCACAGTGTTACCAGTGGTAATAAAAACCCAGGCCAACTGTTCTTTTCCTGATCAAGCGCTCCTTTAACTCTTCCCCATCTCCCTGCAGGTGAGAGGAAGTTTTCTGTAGCTTAGAGAGAGCAAACCAGACATGCTGCAGTGAAATGCAGTCCTGAATCGGAGGTAGGGCAGTAAGTCACTTCAGAAGATAAGTATATCAAACCGAAGGGCCATCTTGCGATGCTCTGTCTGAGGGACCAGTAGTGGATGCCTTAGAGAGGGTAGGAAGAGGGTAAGCACATCATCAGGTGATCTCAGAATAGTTTCCTGGCTTATAGGACTCAATACTGTATGCTTGCAAGTATTTTTCACTGGGTTTCTGTTTCTCAGACGACAGTGACAGAGCTTTACTTTGCGCTTTTCCAGAACGTGAACACAATGACAAGAAGGACATTGACCCCAATGCTGGACGGTTTGTACGCTACCAGTTTACCCCAGCTTTTCTTAGACTTCGGCAAGTGGGAGCCACGTAAGTAATTGCTCCTGTGCTACTTTTTCTAGTAGAGGAAACAACTGAAATCTTATAAAAAGTGGGTCCTGCTTGTTGACCCTGTCAGGAAGTTGATTTAATAGGGATCTTTTGTTATTACGAGGATCCCCAAACATCTTTGGATGCCTTGCTTTCTCCATCCCTTTAGCTTGTTTATTTACCTCAGGAATAGGCATGGGGTTGAAGAGATTAATGCTAAAAGGGGCAAAATAAGATGGGCAGACCATCCAGGTATTCCAACTTTTTTTCTGCACATTATAGTTTGTTTGTCGGAGGCTCTGCCAGCTTCGGAAGATGTGTCTGCAGCCTTCCACATTGCATCCCCCCAAGCATTAATCCATAGACGCACGGGAAACGGTGACGGAATGTTTGACGCTTTAAGTACCGGAATGCTCCTTGACGTGTCTGGCAGTACTGCTTGCATCCGTCCATAAGCCACACCAAAACGTGACACCTAAAGTATCTTTCTGTAAAGCTTTAGGCCACAGTTATTGCTACTGTAATACAGGTGACAGAGTGTGTTGTTTCCTTAGTAAAAGTTAGTAGTGATTACTACTAACTACACTATTACCACTAATTTACTGCTAACTCTACTACTCACTCTAGTGAGTGATCTAGTGAAGTGCCTAGCCAGTATAGTTGGAGGGATCTTTTCTTCACTGAACATCAGTTTAAATTTGTAAAATTGTCTTGCATGTCTTTTTTTTTCTTGAGTAAAAAGAATCAAAATCTAGTATAATCTGTGATTCGTAATGCTATGTTGTGGCCCTGTAGCATGCTTTAAGAAAAAGAGGAAACGATAATTTGGTTTGCAACATTGCTTTAGATTTTTGGCTTTTTTTAGAAGAGCTCTCTTCTACCTTTCAGCAACGGTTGGAAAATCTTACTTAAGGAAGAAAGCTCATTTCAATCTTGTCCTTCTCTTTCAGGGTGGAATTCACAGTAGGGGACAAACCCATTAATAACTTCCGCATGATCGAGAGGCACTACTTCCGGGATCAACTGCTTAAGAGTTTTGATTTTGAATTTGGGTTCTGCATCCCCAGCAGTAAAAATACCTGTGAGCACATCTATGAATTCCCACAGCTCTCTGAGGATCTCAGTAAGTGCTCTTTAATTACCGGGTTGCCGCATAGTGATGTTAATCTAAGGTGTTCTGAGGAAGCCCCTTCTTAAGAGCCGTCTGTAGAAAGTGGGTAGGGTAGAATACTTCCAGGGAGTTTTGTGTCTGTGTTAGTACAGGTTTCGTTTTCTAGTAGCGTGTATCTTGTCACCCGCCAGACAGTTGGGTTGTGGTTTTTTTTAATTCATAAAAGGGAAGCTTCAGTGTCCAGGAGAAAGAAGATAATTGTGTTATAAACCAACGAAAAAAATAGATTTAAAAAGAAGTCCAATAAAAGGGTGATTTAAATGTTATGTTTGATGTGCTATAGTGATAGCTTGAGAGGCTTTAGTATGAACATAACTTTACTTTCTCTTCTCTCTCCCAAGACACAGTAGCATCAGTACTAAATCTATGGGACCGTATATTTTTTAAAACCCCTAATCATGTACGTCAGAACTAATATTACAGTCTCTGGAAAACACAGTGATGCACTGCTGCGTATTTATTGTCACACCAGAACAAATTTCTTTTGAGTTCACTGTTTTATCAGTTTTTTTAAAACAAAACAAAAAAAAAGGCCCAAACTCTAGTGTGATGCTGTTTTGAGGTTAGGTGGAACACTTACACTTTGTATGGTGCCTTAAAATACTTGGATTATGTGTGAGTTCTTTAAAAGATCCTGCCAACGAACGGTTTGGGTAGGTTCCTGTTTTGGTTTTGGTTTTTCACTTGAGAGTTTGCTGCTGTCTGAGCGATGCTATTAAACGTAACTGAAACCCAGTGCAGAGCGTTGCCTCAGCAGGGCTGCTAGGCAGCACCATTGGTTTTTTTTTTTTTTTTTCTTTTTTCCCCCTGCAGTTCGGGAGATGATCCTTCATCCATATGAGACACAGTCGGACAGTTTCTACTTTGTGGACAACAAGCTCGTGATGCACAACAAGGCAGATTATTCATACAGTGGAGGACCTTGAGCACAGGACGGACAGCCAACCTGCGCTGGCCCTCCCCTTCCTATTGAAGCCGTCAGGGATACCAACACCTTCAGTTCAGTTGCCTGCAGCGTCAACTGGACAAGGATCCACAAACCAAGGACTCTCTGCCACAGTAGGAGTTTCATGACTAAATTTGACAGTCTCATCTTTTTTGAGCTTTGAAGCAGACCTAGTTCTTCAGAACTTTAAGCAGTTCTACAATGCTAAATGATCTTTGGATACCACTTCCCTAAGTTCTTGAAGTGTCTGCTTTGAAAATGGCCTTGTGGGACCTGGGGGATTTTGCCCTAATTCTGCCGATTTGTGTTCTTGCCCTCAAGTATCTTTCAGGACATGATTGCTTTCTCAAAGAATGTAGTCTGAGAAACCACGTGAGTGGATGGATGCAAACGCAGAGGGGTTTTTATTTGTTTCTCTTTGTGAATGCCACAAAGGCATGGCCAATTTAACGTGTACATCCAGCTGAAAACGTCGAGCATAACATCTTAAAAAAGCAAGTTTCATCTTTAGGTTAGTTCTCTAAAGAAGTATCTCATCCTTTAGTTTTGTTCCTTCTATGTAATATTCTGTTTAAGCGTGCAATGAAGACCAGCAGTTCAGTGACAGAGCTGTTTTTAATCAGGTACTGTCCTTTTACATTTCAGATGAAGGCAAAATAGCATTGAGGGCCTATGAACCTCCATAAGCATTTTCCACTAATTTCAGTTTTTGCAAACTGATTGCAGAATATCAGGAAAAATTGAAGGATTTTAGCTTTATTTAACATTTTTACATAGCTAACATCCAGCCTATTCATGCTGTATGTTTTCCATGTCTATTTGCTTTCATCTCTGCTCAATACTAAGATAAGGGCTTCAGCACTGCTTGTTAGAGCAACACTTTCATTTGTCTAGGGCAGTTGGAGAGTGTGGAATTTCTAATTTTCCATTTGTATCTGAATTTGAAGAATGTTATGACAGTGTTTTCCCTTTGTTAAAAATGTTTCATGGCAGATATTAATACAGATGAAACAGTAAGTCTAATAATGTAGGACTTTAAGGCACTGCAAAAATTTAGCAAAAGCTCACTCTTCAGACTCTGTAAGAAGTTTAAAACCAATTTTGCCCAAGTTTCTGAGCATGTGCTTCTTAGAAAGACAGAAGTGCAAAGAAGTAGCAACATCAAAAGAGCAAATTAGTGTATGCAAAACAAAACCTGCGAAGGCAGTGTGGGGTAGCCTCTTGTCATGAAACCCTTACTCTGAAGGTCAGTTCGCTGACACTTTAAAAGGCAGTGGCAGTTTGTAGATATTTCTATAAATACTTGATGTCTCCATGTCTAATTCTGTGAGTTTAAAAGTGGAACATTATATGTTAGCCTCAGATAGGTGTGATTGTAATAATTTTTATAAAATACCATTTCCAGTCATGATTAACATCTTTCTAGTCACAGCCTAAGTCAAACAGAACTACAAATGGTTCCCAATCTAGCCATCTGCCTAAGAACAGGGAGGCTTCTGTGCTCTTATTAGTGTTGTGATCACTATGAAATGTGTTACCATTTGTATTTGGCTTGGCTTTCTTTACTTCTAAAGAAAATGCAGTGAGTTTAGGTTACAGCACAGAATTCTTTATTAAGATCGATAGCTAAGAAAGTACGTAAAGTTCACTGATTTTACACAACTAATGTCCTGTAGTAATTATCACAATGAGACTTGTATTTATCACTAGTTTTGTCTGTAATGTATTAAATCATACAGTTAGCCTATGGCTGACTTATCTGTTTGAGAGTTAGAAGAATTTCCTCATTATTTGTACAATGCTTTGAGCTACTGATCATTAAGTTTTATAGCACAATAATTACTAAAGGTGAAAATAGTTTCAAAAAGTCTAGGGGTCCCCCCCCCCCCCCCGTTTTTTTTTAATCAGGGCTATTAAACTATCTATATATTAAATGACATTTTGCAAGTTTAAGTATTTATGAATTTTGTTCCAGCTGTTGAAGGTGAAAATATACCAATTTGAAGACAGAAGAGAGTGTGTGTGTTTATAACTAGCACCCTACACAGGTTTTTTGGGGGTATCTTTCAACTCTCACCTGCTATTCATAATAATCACTTCTGTGCACAAGATTTTTAAAAAACTTCTAGTGAGGGTGCTTGCCCAGACTTGCCAGTCATACCTTTCAAACAGATGGATGGTTCAAACAGAAATACACATCTCGGTATGTTTTGGTGAGAGCACTTGTACTTTGGGACAAACTCTTGTCAGCCCTGGGTTGTGGTACTGAGTACCCTCTCTGTATAGCGTATCATCGTCTGCTGATCTGAAAGAGTCATGTTCTGCTCCTTTTTTATGCTACCTCCTTTTCAGAATTGGGACTTCAAAAGCAAAAGTAATTCCATAAAAATATTACTGTACTCAACGAAAACTTGAGTGGTAGACATGCCCCTTTAAAAACGAACCCAGAGGAAGTTACCTTTTCCCAATAGTGCACTATGTCGTTGAGTGGACGTTCCCACGCTCTGCATTTTATGGTAGGTTTGAGGTTGAAGAGGATGAACTATCTGCTCCCGATCTCCTGAATTCTGCTAACTGGTCTGATGATTGAGATTCTATGGGTAATAATTTCAAGCTGGCAGAAAATTTAGAGTGAATCATATAGGCGATATTTTATTGAGTGAATTTGTTGTCTTCTATTATTAGGAATACTTTAAAACAGAGACAAATATTGGACATTTTTAATAAAATAAATTTCAACCTATTTTAGCTTTAGCTTTTTAGTTTGAGGAATTTTACTTTTTTTAAAAGTCCTCACAGTTTGCTACAAATAACAAGTTCTGATTCTTAAACCAAGGCAAATAACAAAACTTTCTGTGTGAAATGTAATGAAGGTGCTTTTTTCTGTATTCCAGTGTTAACAGTTATCGCTGTTTTCTCTCTCTCTCTCTCTCTCTCTCATTTGGAAACGCTTTGTTAGCATTTCTTTAAGGTCATCTACATCCACAGCGTTTACAACCAGGTGGGAATCACTGGCCAAGGGAGAGGTTCCGTTCCTTTTCTACCTGTTCATGCAGCAGTATAATGCATAGTGTTGACACAAGACATTATATTGTTGCACATAACCAGCACTAGAAGAGTGTTTCTTCAGAAACTTTTGCAGTACGGTTGCTGTTCTAATGCCACTTCTGTCCTTGTTTTGCATTAAAACTACGTGCAAAATTTAATGTTAAAGACTGTGCTTAGTACAGCACTGAACAACTTCAGCTTTTACCTGAAAGGGAGCCGAGAGCTCTCCGGTCAGTTGTAAAATGAAACCCACATTTTTTTCCCTTAAATTGGCAGCTGATTCCTATTATAAACCAGTTGAAAATCAAATTTTAACAGCATTGTTCACAGAAAAATTTGTTAGTCTCCTTGGCTAGTTATTATTTTTATATTAATCATTATTGGGTTTACTTTGGAAGTTCATCTACAAAGTCACCAAATATTGGCTCTGGAAAAAGAATTCTTGTATTTGTCTTTGGTCTCATTTAAAAAAATTATTTTAATTAGCACTACAGCTCTGTTTTAACAAGCCAGTCTGGAAATTCAGGATCTGACTTTCTGAAAGTGAAAGAAAACATCTAAGAGCTAACCCAGATTATGTGCTAATAATGACAAGCTGTTTCCTGTCATAAAACAGGATTATATGTGTATTTCATGGAGTGAATTAATCTTGGAAAAAGAAACTAAGTCTCTGTGAGTGCTAATAGTGACATAATTTTTCTGAGAGACAAGGCAGTTGTAACTCAACAGATTCTTTCACTTTCTTAGTCTTGGATTCCTTTAAACTTCAGGTATTTTTTAAAGAAAAGCAACAGTAATACCTTTGTGGTCAGCTGCCATGCTGCATGTTCTGATAGTTCACAGACTTCAGTGGCAGGAAAGAGAACAATTTATTTTTAAAATTAACACATCAAGCATAAGTATGGTTTAAATGCTAGAAACTTTGTTCTCGGATCAGTGACAAAAGCCAAAATTGTTTCTGTGAATGTATCCTTTATGTGGTGACATTTATGAAATAACTGAATACTCCACTCTCCCTGACTTGGAAGAATTTATTTTTTTTTAAATGTAGAAAGTCTCTTCAGGTTTGAAAGCAAGGTGTTGGGGTTTAGTTCTTGCTCATAATCTCTCTCTACATCTTGTTGAGCAGGTCAGTAAGACAGCTCTATTTGCCACCTCTGTCCTCCGATTCAGTTTCATTTCAAAAACTTGTGTAGAGTGTCAAAGCAGTGGCTGCGTGTGAAACATTGCAGGCTACCAAGTTCCAAATTCCTTCATTTTGAGCAAACAGACTCTTAAAGTATAGTGAGAGAGAGTGCTATGTGTTGACCCATAAAAACTAAATTCCAATCTTCTTGACAAAAATTAAAGGGAACTCTTATTCATGCAAAGATTATTTGGGGGCTATTTAAGGTAAGAAAATGCTAAGATCCAACTCTCGTACTTAATAAGTATTATAAAAAATGTTCTCTTAATTATTTGTAACCTGAAAAAAATCTGGTTAACAGCTCAATTTTAATTAGATCTGGTTGGGAATGAAACTGTAGGGATTATTGCTGTCCCTTGGCGGGGCTGGGGGGAGAGCATCTAGAACTGTATGTATTGCACAAGAGCTGGACAGGTTTACGTGCTGTGACGCTAACGGGAAAAGTTATCATCTCTGGGAAAAAATGAGGGAGAGGGACAAGGACAGGAAAAGAGTTAATTTCAGCTAATTTGAACCAAGCGCTTTAAGGCCATGGTAAGTGTAAATGCTTTTTCTCTTGAGTTTGAGATAGCTGGTAGCTTCTGTTAGCAGCTCTTTTCTGTACCCCCAGCATAAGCACTACCTAAGTTTATACAAATGTGTCAGTATTAATCAGATATTAAATCACATTGACAGTTCATATCATTTCCTAAACATGGAAATATATTTGAAGAGCGTGATACTCTAGGCCTCAAGTTGCAGCTCAG